CTTTTTGGGACACTTGTTTTCAGTTTTTCAAAGAAATCTACAGGGATATTTTTCCATATTTTTTGTAAACATCTCCAAAGTTCAGTCTTAGATGTTGGTTGCACTTTCTACTTCTCATGATCAAAGTAATTCCAAACACAAATTTAGACTCATCAGTCCATAAAACCTCAGTAGTGTTGAGTTGTCTTCTCACAGTGGAAGGATGCACAGAAACACCTTTGGATTATTTTCAGATCTGAAGTGAGAGTGGAGCTTTATTTTCTCCTCTCTCTCAAAGATGAAAGCTTTAAGCACTGTTTATCTGATGGTGACAGTGTTGGTGGTCTACCAGGTCTTACACCATTGTTATGAGTCTCACTTTCTCAATATCTTTTAATAAATTTTTTAACTAATTTTGGAAACTTTTTTCACTTATTCTTCCCCTCCATACCATAATTTGCCACACCTTCTCCAGCTAATCAACATCTTCCCAAGTCTCTATTTGGCTGGATCCAGTAAGCTGCCCTGACCCTTTCTTCACTCTATTACATCTGATCCAGCCAATCAGGGACTTGCCTTCAGCTTTTCCCAAGGCCCTGATCGGCTGGATCAGATATATTAGTGTTAAGGAAGGGGTGGGGCAGCTTCACAGATACAGGTTGGAACTAAACTCTGCAGGAAAAAATAATCAAAGATGTAGATAAAAGAAATGAAAATGATTTGTCTAACACATTTAGCCACTGCACTCTTCCATGCATTATTCTGTAGTTTTGGTGTATTCAATATTATTCTAATTTGTGGAAACCACTAAAAATAACGAATAGATGTGTCCACACTTTTGACTGCTACCATGAGTAATTGTTAGAAAGTAGATGGAGGGTGTTTGCTGTAATATGAATGTCTCTATTATCTGTATTCACTCACCTTCAGCCAATGTATTTATTGGTGATACATGAAAGGTGTCTACTAAAGGTAAACATAGCAGCAATTGTCCGATGTTTGCATTTATGGAAATTGTCACCATTCAGTCAGCAATGGTATGAAGAAGATGGACTGACTGAAAAACAGCACTAAGTTGTTTCCCAATTCATGCTGTTTACACGGAAGCTGTAATGAATGTAATCATTTCTGTCCGAATCAAGCAGCACAGGAGGGTGTAATTGGAAGTGTGTCGGATGGCCATATTAAACAGAGCTTATGTTTTCTCACAGCTTGTGGAGGTCTGTTGCTGTAGAAACAGACACATAGATTGCTAAAGCTGACTCTGCACATATCTTATCATTGCCAGATGAAGCTGTGTCGGGTGGGATTCACTTCTATGTAAGCTCAAAATCCTCAGTAACTAAATAATGTAAAGACTCAGGAATAAAATGGTGTAGAAACAGCACCGATGCTGTTTTTCAGAGAAGAAAGCTAAAGCTTTTGTACTCTTAATACATTTATGTTGCATGTCCCTCCAGTCAGTAAATTGAACAAATTAAGCTTTGCTCCTCATTAACTATCAACTCCATCCTGCTGAGTGATGGGACCACAACAATGAACGGACATCTGGATGAACTCATGAGAGAGGCAGAAGCACTGAGAAAGAGACAGAGATGGAGAGAGGAGGGGATGAGTAAGGCTGATTTATTGCTGGTCAGCTGTGGCAGTAGGGAGTGTTTATTTACCCCCTGCAGGGTGCCTGCCTGGGCCTGACCAAGCCGAGGCTGATGTCAGCTCTTCCAGACAGCACACATGTCTGAGCAATTCTCGCTCCGTCTCATGGCTCATTCCAGGTCAGAGACGTTTTCTCCTATTGCCATGGAGACAGCACAGCTCTCATTGCAGGCAAGTGTCAGATATTATACAATCTCTTACAGTCTCATGTACAGTGTGTGTTAATACAGTCTTACATCATCTAATACAGTCTTTAGGTCCCACACAGTGTCATACAGCTCTCATACAGTCTCTTCCAAAATCATACTGTCATGTCCAGTTTTATGCAGCCTTATTTAGTCTCACACTGCCTTTCAGTGTTTCATACTTTCTCATCAGCCCTCAGACACAGCATCCATATACAGCATCATACAATTTAATACAATTTTATTCAGTCTCAATTTTACACAGTCCTCAGGTGCTTATACTGTCAAAGTCTAAAACAGTCTCTAACAGTCAGTCATACATTCTTATACAGTCTCAAGATGTCCTCATACAGTCTCATTTAATCTCACTTTCTTTAGATCTCATACAGTTTCATGTAGGCTTCATACCGTCTCATATGATCACAGGCATTCTTTAGGTCTTAAACAGTCTATACAGCCCACATATTGTCTCATACAATTGCATACATTCTTTAGGTCTCAAACAGTCTCACATAATCCTCATACAGCCCTCATACTGTTTTATACAATCTTATACAGTTGTTCAGTGTCATACAGTGTCATATAGTCCTCTTACAGACCTCATATTTCTCATGCAATCTCATACAGCTTTTAGGTCTTTTAAAGCCTTATACAGTTCTCATTCAGCCCTCATACTGTCTCATACAATCTCATACAGTCCTTAGGTCTTATACAGTCTCATTGATCATCATACAGTCCTCATACAGTCTCATTAATCCTCATACAGTCCTCACACTGTTTCATACAATCTTATACAGTCTCATTAAGTTCTCATTCAGCCCTCAACCTGTCTCATACAATCTCATACAGTCCTTAGGTCTTATACAGAGTCATTGATCCTCATACAGTCCTCATACTGCCTCATACAGTCTCATTAAATCCTCATACTGTCTTATACATTCTTATACATCCTTTAGGTCTCTTACAGTCTTACATAGTCTTTATACAGTTGCATAAAGTCCTCATACAGCCCTTATACCTTTTCATACAATCTCATACAGTCTCATGAAGTCCTCATACAGCCTTCACACTGCTGTATATCAGCGCATGGGACATGGCTTTCCTGCTTGAAGAACTGATGCCAGATGTGCATGAGACTCTGATAAGGAAAGGGTATTCACTGGCCTCGGAAAAGTCCCACTGAAAGGCCTGAAAACCAACACTGTAATTTTGTCCATCATCATGGCCCCCACCCTTCCCCCTGTGCTCACTCTCCAAGCTGGACTGCTACAAGTGTTTGCTCTCCAGCCTCTCCAAGCTGTCATGTGCAGTTAATCCTTCAGTCAGTCTGAAACAGAGGGAATTTCTTTGTTACAGTGAGGCGCTGACCTGAAGCAACCCGTGAAGACCGGAAAGCACTTCCTCAGACAGGCAGGAAAGATCATTCTGTGGAGTGAAGGACAAGACAGCAAGCCTTCACCCCTCCAGGCAAACTTACCACAAAAGCCTCCTCTTATCTCTTATCTCCTGAATCAGGATGGCTGACCCCCACCTATCTTCTACCTGACCCTCATCATGCTCAACTTCCTCCCCCTCTGTCCCTCTTACACCCGTCTAATTGAGCATCATGACAACCCTTGAGTTTAGGAAGCAAACTTAGAGCTGGGTTCAGAAAAGCACTCATGACAGACAAAAGGTTAAACATATCATGCCCTACAATCCGCATGTTAGCCATTTACACAGGCAGCAGGACTCTGATAGTTGTGTTTGTGGAGTTCAACATGCATTTTCAGGGAGACAGAAACAGGCAGTTTCAGACAAAGGAAGGTGGAGCAGTCTAAAATGATCGTTCAGGTAAAAGGCTCATTACTTCAATAAAATAATGACTCCATTAAGTTAAAACAGCTACCAAAAACTAGCTTGAGTAAAATAAGTATGAGTTCCCTTCAGATCTGCAGAGGAACAGGAAGCATCTATTAGCAAAAGAACTGAAGAATGAAATTAAACCCAAAAGAAGAATTAGAGACTAAATCTAAAGGGCTCAAAAAGAACTAATAGAATTAATAGAACTGAGGAAAAAGAAGGTTCCCTGAGTACTTGAGCAAAAGTACTTAGAGAAGTCTCAGCTGTATTTAAGTACATGTAAATCGATCTAGTCACTATCCATATTTGGGTTCAGATGTGGACAGTCACAACACAACTCACAGATACTGTGCGGTGTCCTCTAGCAGGCACACCTGCCGTCCTTGAGTGAAGAATCCCAAGACTGAGTCTTTGGCATGCACTTCCAGTGCGCCTTCATTGAGTGAATGTAAATAATCCAACAGCGCCCTCTGCTGGCAAAAGGCAATAAAACAATAATTAAATAGAAAAGAAAATGAAAAATAAAATGTAAATACACAACTAAAAAACTAGATACACCGTATTTATATTAACTTACATATTTAATTATTTACGAATGTTCAATATTTTAACTTTTGATTGTTTGGTGTTCAAAATATTTAAGTAGTAACTGAATTTGAATTAATTTTTGTTTTCTCACTAGACCATCTGAATTTATATGCGTAATATGTGCCCAAAAATATGAAAAGATAGACAAAGACGGCAAGGTTGATTCAGAACATGATCAAAATAGAGTAATACATCTTTTACACCAGTTGTGTAAAATATTAAGATAAAATGTTCTCTGTCTAATCTATCCAAAGCAATTTATTCAGTTTGATAAGTGAAAAGTGTCCAAGGAATTCATTTTGACTGAAGTAATGTGAAGTTAAACGCTGGACGAACATCTACCATTATCCATTTTATTGTTACTGTCCATTTATTTATTTATTTATTTATTTATTTATTTATTGTACATAGGGCTTTTTAATCTCCGTGAAATGTGGATTTAATATTTTCTTAAATCAAAAGTTCAAGTGACCAAAAGACTGAATTTAATGATACATTAAGTGATTAAATAAAATAAATTAAATTAAGTAACATTTCAAGTACTTACATTAATGGACTAATTATTTATTCTTTTATTCTAAATTTTTGGTAGTTTACATTAAACTACACCGAGGTGAGACAGGATGTGTTTATTTATTGTGTCAGTACAGTTATTATTAAAGGCTGGCTGACCCGCTGCCCCGCCCCCGTGGCGCCCTCCAGCGGTCAGTCCTAAATGAAGCGGCCGAGCTCTGACTGGGGGAAGGTGAAGGAAAGATGGCGGCCGGAGCTGAAGCGGGCCATGGCCGCAGCAGCAGCAGCAGCAGCAGCAGCAGCTCGTCGGCCGCGCTGGAGGCCACGCTGGACCGCCGCTTCCAGGGAGTCACCAACACCATGGAGTCCATCCAGGGCCTCAGCTCCTGGTGCATCGAGAACAAGAAGCACCACAGCCTGGTCGTGCGCTACTGGATGAAGTGGCTCAAGAAATGTGAGTGTTTTGTTTTTTCTGAGCTTTGCTTTGCACAGGCTCCGCTCCGGCTCGCCTTTCTGCCGTTCATTCCTGCAGAAATTAAGCCTCGTTCAAGCAGTTTAGACTCTAATGCTGAGCTGTGTGCACTTTCTACTTAATCCTTCCGTGCAGATGGTGACAGTGAGTCTGTGTTGGTGTTGTGTTGCTGTTGCTGTTAGCATATTGTTGCTGCTGCTGCTGCTGCTACTACTGTTCAGGCCTGGTTTAAGATTCAGGGAAACATGACCAGCAAGCACCGTGTACAACAAAGTTATTTTAGCCGTTACTGATAGATGATCTGACCTCGCTTAAATGCAGATATCTGATCACAAGCTAGTGTTAATTCTGAGGGTTTTAGGTGTAACACTGCGTTTATGGTGAGTTTAAAGGGGAAATCCACCGATTTTTCAAAATTTGTTTTGATTCAGTGGTTGAGATGTGAACAGAGTCATTCAGAGTGGTTTGATGTGAAACAGCCCCTTTGCAGAGAAACTTATAGACTATCAGGTTTCTTTACAGAGGTGCTAATAGGAACCATGGTCAATTTGGAGCAGTTTTCTTTGGGGACTTTTTTGCCATAGAACACCCTTCTTGTATCCCTCTGCCATGAATGGATTAAAATTAATTGATTAAAATATGTTTCAGACCCAAACTTTATAACAACTACTGTAAAACAATGTCTCAGACATCCTACAAAGTATAACCATTTAATGTAATAACTTTTTGTGAGAGAGCTTTTAGAGGCATTAAACTCATAAGATGTCTCTCTCTAACGTTTCTCTGTAACTATTTCACACCAAAGCATTTTGAATGACTGTTGACATGTTAACCATTTCATTATTTGAAAATTTGGAAAAATTGGTTTCCCCTTAAAGGCTTTGTGGTGTTAGGGAGGTACTTCATGAAGCTGAGTTGTAATTTAGTGAACTGTGGGATTAGTTGGGTCCTTAAATTGGCCAAACTCCTTCTGTCCACCTTCAGTTTGACCCTTTAAACTCTGTGTCAGACATAGGAGGGTCAGTGTCCAGCACAGAATCTGTGAATAAATGTGCTGTTCGGTTAACTAAGTCTTTTGCCCAGTATCAAGTAGGGGTGCATTTAAGTCCACGATCTCGTTTTATAGGCTTATAATTGTGAGGTTCTGTCTGTGTTCGCTGCAGTTTTGAGATATTGATCCTCCATATTTCAAAACTGCAGTGAACGCAGATAGAACCTTATAATTCTATATAACTGTCAAAATAGCTCTTATCTAGTACAGTTATCTGTAATATCCTGAAACAACATTTTTGCCCTGAGATACTTCTGACCACTCAACGTTAAAATCCTAGGAAACATCCTTCTCTTTTCTGGAGTGGAACAAGCGCAGATAGCTCTCAGAATTAGAAGGTTCTCTCATTGTGTTTAGGATGATAAGGTTCTGTCTGCAGATAAACCCAAACTGGAATGGATGCTTCACCAGACTGTTACAGGTGCAGACTCTCTTGACATGAATAAAAGTATAAGGCAGCTGTTTTACAATGTAGTGCAATCATTTTATGTTGAAGTGTTTGGTCAGTATTATTACTGTATCAATATTATAAGCAGATTCAAATGTCGTGCCAGTACTGTACAGTTTCTTAGGTTGGCTTCACACTGTGAAACTTTTAGTTGAAACTTTAGTTGTTGTTTAAACAAAATGAATATTGTACTTGATTCCTCACTCATCCTGTCCTTAAAGCACTGCAAGCTCTCCTTAAGTAATCATTTTATACCTTTTGTATCCTGAATGACCCTGTCATTGAGTACAATGACTACTTGAATATTACTTTTCAAAGGCATAACATACAAATTTTAAAGGCAAACACATACACTTCTTCCTGCTTTCTGATGTTTTTTTTTAAGCAATAATAATGACATCTTTTAAAAAAATAAACAAAAAAAGCTGCAAATATTCAAATGTCAATACCATGTTGCTGTTTATATAGCGAGAATGTTACAATATAATAAAATACAAGCTGCTAATTTGGTTATTTAATGGAGTAATGAAATGTGTTACCCATGATTTCTTTTGAGTTGCTTTATGTAACTCGCGCTGAACCAAAATGTTGCATGCAACTAGTCACATGAAAGTTTCACTGTGTAAAGCCAACTTTGTTTTTGAGCAATTTTTAGGAAAAACTAGGACATTTTGTGTGTCCAGAATCATGACAAGCTATAGACGACTATACAGCTTTTAAGATTAAAAGCTGTGCGTTGAGGGAAAAAAAATAGCAAAATATTAGCAAATGACGTTTTAATAAAATAACCATGTGTCAGATTTGCTGTGATCCAGTTTTGAGTGATTACTTTAACAGGAATGAATTATGATGAGGAGACTATAGTGCTTCTGGATACGTGCTTTACCAGAAGTCCTACATCAGGCCTAATGCACCACCACAAGCCTTTAAAAACCATCTGCACTACAAAGACCACAATCCCCACAATGCACCACTGTGTCTAATTGTCAGTAAAGACCCAGTGAGCAGTGCAACTGTGGTGCTGAATCAGCAATTCCTGACTGGTCAGTGATCACTAGAGTAAAACAATGAGAAAATTAGTATAAAAGGGCAGCAGGGAATGGTGCGTAAGGTGTTGTGGCTAACGAAAGAGAGCATACGAACGTTTTTGTGCATACTTTTTAATTTCAAGTTGTAAACATGACATCCCTAAGTGAATTCTGAGAGAGTTTCTGAAGTGATTTGTACAAATTGAAATATGTTTTGAATTGAACCTTGCTCATGAACACTGCTCATGAACACTGTTAGGGCACAGATTTTTTATTATTTTTTTTCTTTTCTTTTCTAAGTTTCTGCAAATTCCTTCCAAACTCACTGACTGATTTCTTGAAAGTGTTGGTGATGGAAATCAGGGGTCATGAAGTCTACAACACAAATATAACCTTTTTATTTACTATTCAAAACCACCAGTGACCCTACACATATCCTCACTTTTTAACATGTAGTACTGATAATGGTAAGATATGTAAAAATACATTTTTTTGTTGTTTATTTTGTCTTACAACACCCTGCATGTATCCCTCTGCCATGAATAGATTTCAAAAAAATATTTCAGGTCAAAGTAATATTTCAGAAATTTTGTAAAACAATTGTAAAACAATGTCTGTCATCAGGCAGCGTATTAATGACACTGTCATATATAATAACTTTCTGTCTGTGAGCTTTTAGATGCGTTAAACACTTCAGACGTCTGGTTCCTATTACCACCACTATGAACAATTCTGACTCAGCTTCCATAGACTGGAGCATTTCAAATCAAACCATTTAATTATGCAGCAATTATGGAAAATCAGTGGAATTCACCTTTTAAAGCTGTTATTAGTGTTTGACTTCGCATTACTGGTGTGTGTTTGTTTGTACACTGTAATGTTTGGCTTTCTTTTCTGCCTTGATATCAGTTTCTGCCAGTTGGTTTGCTTGCACCATCATTTGCTAGCAATAAGTGCACGCTAGATAAACTATCTTGGCTCGTGTTCCTGAGGACATGTGCAGCTTTTAGTTCTGTGTCAGTTAAAAGAAAGATTCACAGGTTTGTGGTTGTGTGTAGGCCTAAGCAGCACACTTTGTGTTGCTGTACATGACATGGTTGTTGTAGAGGTTTTTTTCTGCAGTAATGACAATCACCTGCACAATTCATGATTTATGTTTTCTCCTTTAGCCATGCAGTTAAATTATTCCTCTTGGATTTTGCTTGGACAGTCATGTATTTGTATGATAAGAACTAGGGATGCATTGATACCATTTATTTCAGAGTACAAGTACGTATTTTAGTACTCGCTGAGACCATAACAAATTAGTTATATAATTCAAATGTAGCTAACTTTAAATGATGTGCATTTACTAGCATCTATAGCTGCTGATATATGACAAAAAAGAAACGGAGAGACGGAAGACAGATCCTTCAACCATGTTAGGAGTGGTGTCTTTGGGTAGTTTGTCCATCAGAGGGTGCTCTGCAGCTTCGCTGTTGGCAACTCGCACGTGTGTACTGCCACAAATCAAAACAAGCAGAAATGAGTAAATTACTCCGTGATGGAGATGGTCTTCATTCATGGCAAGCTGAGAAGTGTCACATGATATACATTACTTAAATAATAATTTAAATATCCCCATTGTTTCTCCTTTTAGCCTAAATAAGCCTGGCAACATTGATGTAAGCGTTGCCTGCTTTTGCTGCAGTAACGTGAAGGCCAGTACTGTCAGGCAAACATCACTGTTAGCCTACATTTAATGTTATGGTAGTTGAGTGGTTTAGGCTAAGCTGTTGACACATTAGATAGTTGATTTATTTATGAAACAGTGTGGCAGTTCTAGCGAGTAAAGAAACAGCGGTACTATCTTTTCTCTTGAGCTCGTCACTTCTAAAAATCTTCTGGCAACATCGCAGTGGTTATCAATAGAAAACAGCTAACGTTAATGAGCATTTTACTTATTCTGCCTAAATGACAAAGCTGAAGCTTCCTATTTGCCAGCTTCTTGGAATTTTCCTGTTCCACATTAAATGGTGCAACAATTACATTCTGGCACCTCACACTATGTTCACGTTTCCAACATAGGCAGTAGCTGTGTCACTGTTTGCTTGATCTGTGAGGAATGAAGGAGATCTTATTGCACTTGAAGACATTCAGCCAGTTTGTGCTTCATCTTGTGTGGAGCTGCATCTCCAAAATCAGCTTGGACCGAGTTATGGAGATCTGAGCTTTAAGGCAGCGTTTAAGCTCCTGAAATGAGGTGGAGAAACTCCTTCCTCGTCCTTCTGTCCTCCTTTCGCTTTTCCAAATCCTGCATACTGTCACAGTTTGCTCATTTTGGGAAAAGTAAAGGACCTTCTCATAGATACTCTGCACGCCCTTTTTTGTGGTGTGAACGATTTCATGAAATACCCCCCCCCCAAAAAAAGTTGGAAAGCGCTTATGTACAGCTTCATAGTTTTGATGCTCCTCG